ATCTTTCTGGCTCTTCATCGCCGAATAATTGAATCTTCTCGGCCATTTTTTGCGAAAACGGTGCATTGTAGGCAGTTGGCGCACAGATAACTTTTGATCAGCATCATGAGGAGAATTGAATGCCATAAAAAATTAAGCATCCGTCATGGTGCACTTTCCCATAAGAGGGGTGCGGGGTCCTTTTTTGTTAAAAACTTGAAAATTGCATAGCTTCTCAACAGTTTGTCGTAGCAAGATGATCTTGCAGGGCCAGATCTAGGGGAGGGGGAGGGCAATTGAATGCATGTGCCCCCTTCGCCACTCGACTGTGGATGACATACAGGAATTCGACAAGTGGGTTAAATCCCTGTTACCGGGAAGCTCAGCATTTAATATTACCTCTGAGAGAGAAGAAAAGATAAAACTACAATTAGGCACAGTTCCAAATTTTATAACTATTCAAAGTGCCCTAGAAAAGTATGGTAAAGAATTTTGAACATTCCACGTCAAAACATAAAGGCCCTTCAAAATAGTGATAAGAGGCATTCCAACCATTTACTCAACTGATGAAATGAAGTCTGAACTTCTAGATAAAGGCCTCGATGTCATCAGAGGAAGTACGTAGGGTCAGCAAATTGTTTATAGAGCCAAATAAACCCACAGATGAAAGCTTTTCTTTCACCTTCCTTTAGTCTCTGTGGATCAAACGAAAACCCCCACAGTAAAGAACATCTTTAACCTCCCGGGTATATTCCACCTTAAAATTGAAGTCGAAACACCGAGAGCTCAAAACTGGCTACCGCAGTGTAGACGGTGCCGGACTTATGGCCATGTGGTTAGCAATTGCAACTTTCAATTCACATGCGTGAAATGTGCGGGCAATATTGAATTTTGGAGGTGTAAGAAAACCAAAAATCTAAGTGTGCATTGTGTAGTCAGGATCACCCTACGAGTTATAGGGGCTTTCCTGTTACTCAACAAATAAATAAAAAATGTATCATCCCTCCTGAAAATAGGAATCAACCTAATGATCACACCTATGTCAAATAAATTAGTTTGATTCTAAACCTACTGCATATCGACGGTGTAAGTCGGCAATCACATAACTCGTTTGCGGTGTCTGAAAATCTCCGCCTCTATGTTATTTTTTTAAAGAAGAACAAATTGACATCACTCCTTGAGGTTTTTACAGAATTTTCTTCGCACAGTGAGGAAAATTCACGGCAGTTTCAAAGAATTTCCGTTGGTTAGTTTTCCGTTTAAAAAATAAAGTATGACAGGAAGTCTGCGACGTCGCAAACAGAGTTATGTGATTGCCGACTTACACCGTCGATATAGGTATTGGTACTTGCATCAAAACTGCACCACTGAACACCACTACGGGATGGGCCTAATCTCCAGCACAAAAGGCCCAAGCTTTTGCATCCACTTGCTATCTTGGAATGCATTTCGACTCGCGCTTGACGTGGAAAATCCATATTCAGAAGAAACGGGCTCAACTGGATAGATTATTCTATGATTATCTCTGGCTACTGGGAAAATTCTCGAAACTGGACGATCGCAATAGGTTGCTCATCTACAAGACGATCATCAGGCCTGTGGAGTTACAAATGGAGCACAGCTATGGGGCACAACGAAGAAAACTAATCTCAAAATCATCCAAGTTTCCCAAAACAAATCCCTAAGGCTAATCTTCAATATGCATACGTACGTCTAAAACAGGCATAATTCATAACTCTGCAAATATTGAAACCGTCCAAGATATATCTCATATCACTCACAACTACTTTATGAGATTATGCCACCATCCAACTCCTCTAGCACTAAATCTTCTGGATAATTCACAAGTTCCTCGGCGACTCACTCACACACACGTCCATGCTATTTTTATCAATCACGACGACCCTTAAACTCATCAACTAATCTTGCCAAATTCACTCAACCTATATCAATCCCCAAGAATTTAAAACTCCACGCTCGTACTGCAACGCAATACCGGGGTAGCCGCCATTACGCCGCGGTCATATCACGCGCCAACCAATGACAATCGTCCCATCAAAATTCAGGCTGAATGCCCCGAGTAGATCGCCGAACCAACAACAACAAAAATTATACAGGGTTATCCAAAAGTCACCTACCACCCCTGTAACTTTTTTCCTAATTGAGATAGAAGTTTGAAACTTTGGGAATGTTCCTCGGTATAAAGTAGCAACTTTTTGGTCCCCCAAAATTTCGAGCGGGAACTAACTTTTTTTCCAAATCGCAACCCCTCTTTTGTGATACCTCATTCGAAAGATAATAAAAAAAGAAAATTTTCGGCGCAAACCGCGGGTCAAAATGTTGATTTTTGACGAAATGGCGGCCGGTCAAAGTTCAAAATGGCGGAAATGGCATCTCCGTTTTTTATCGGCGGATTGGTCTGAAACTCAGAATCCTAGGGTTTTTCGGGACGAGAAAAACGATTCTGGCATTAGTTTTCCAGAAATATCAGTCCTTTTCAAAATGGCAGCGGTTGAAATGGCGGCTTCGAGCGGGAAGTGGATATTTAGGCTGCCTATCGTCGGATTTGTATGAGACTTGGTATCCGGAGGCAACCTAAATATCCACTTCCCGCTCGAAGCCGCCATTTTAACCGCTGCCATTTTGAAAAGGACTTACATTTCTGGAAAACTAATGCCAGAATCGTTTTTCTCGTCCCGAAAAACGCTAGGATTCTGAGTTTCAGACCAATCCGCCGATAAAAAACGGAGATACCATTTCCGCCATTTTGATCTTTGACCGGCCGCCATGTCGTCAAAAATCAACATTTTGACCCGCGGTTTGCGCCGAAAATTTTCTTTTTTTATTATCTTTCGAATGAGGTATCACAAAAGGGGGGTTGCGATTTGGAAAAAAAGTTAGCCCCCGCCCCCCTTAAAGGGGCCGCCCCCCCAAAAAAATTTTGGGGGACCAAAAAGCTGCTACTTTATACCGAGGAACATTCCCAAAGTTTCAAACTTCTATCTCAATTAGGAAAAAAGTTACAGGGGTGGTAGGTGACTTTTGGATAACCATGTATATATGTCCACCTCATGAAAAGGGAAGCTCTATTTGTTATTATTTGCGGAGTCAACGACGCGAAGTTTGGAAGGATTTAAAATGTAAATACTTAATATGTTCGAAAAATTTAGAGGAAAGGGCAACATTTCCAGTTTTCTTATCTTCCAAGGAGCACACTGAAAAAAATAATATGCTGTTTTAGCATCTAGGATGTCAAAAATGTGTCTGGTGATCCCAAGACGCTGCCTTTACTGCTCCCGCAGTTGATTTTGCATTCACAGGTTGTAAAATTAACTGCGGGGGCAGTAAAGGCAGCATCTTGGGATCACCAGACACATTTTTGACATCCTAGATGCTAAAACAGCATATTATTTTTTTCGGTGCACCTGTCTGTCTAAACCTGTGAAAGCTAAAGTCAACGTCGGACTGAGCATAATGTGTCAAGTCTAAAGATATAGTTTCCACAGTCCAATATTTTTGTTGCGTACCAATGGAATATCATCCAATGAATATCAATCAGTTTACGAGCCGAACTCGAGGTTGAAAAAGGCAACAAATTCAAGGAAGGCGGGTCGAATTAAAATAAATGACTAGCAATGAGCTTGTTTAGTGATGTCTAGTTCCTGCATTTCTGAAAACTAGAGAGTGCACATAGTTCACAGGAATTTCCCCCGATTTTTTGAACAATATTAACCCATGACAAACGAGCTCAAAGTTGCGTATTTTGAGCTCTCGTTTATAAGTGCATCGACGCAACGGGTCACTCAAAACTGTCCGCAGCGAGCGTTCGATGGAGAATGGCCACACTTGTTGAGTTGCCTCCAACGCGTTCTATAGTCCTCATGCGACGCTGCGTAATGTCCACTTAAGCTTCAATTTACCCCGTAGCATACCTACTCAAAATTCATACCAGTTTTATAGTGTGAAGTGCACCTAAGTAGGTATCTATCAATGCTTATTATAGGTACGCATAAAAAATGTATCGATGAAAAAGAAGGAAAGAATTCAAGAAGGTGCTTTGTGTGCGTCAGCACCGTACTTTTGAGACCACAAAAATCAAACTTAAGAAGATTAATTTTTGTCAAAAACTGAAGAAAATGGTAATCTAAAACGCTATAATTTTCAAAATTTTCTCGGAGGAGGAACCTCGCATCCTCTCACCGTGAGGGTTGCCTGAATTTAAAGTTTGCACCAACCCCCACATGCAGCCTAGATCCGGCCATGTAATCTTGAAGTCAACATTTTAAATAATATAAGAGTAATCAGAAGCTTTGTAAGAAAGTAATAATTTTTCAAATTTTGACCTACGTGTGAAGGAACCATACCTACAAGGTCCCCCTTTTGTAAATTTTCGTAATTCGAGATTTGACGTCGCTGGGTTTGCACGGAGCAAAACTAAATGAAAGTAGGGGGTTTAAGGCTTTAAAAAATGCTATGTTAATCATGGAGAAATGATAAGAAGCGGAGTTATAATTGACGCGATGCGCGGGAACGTGTACCTTCCGAATTCCACGGTCCCCTGCGCCTTCCGCATTGCCCCTGCTCGCTAGGCCACGAGTTTTTGTGTATTTAAGCTTCTTCCGCATTCAATGAGGACGGAAAAATCGAAATTCGTGAATTTTATACAGTGGGCCTCACGGAACGTTAAGAAATCGCAACTCCGTTTCCAATCGTTTTCTCAGGAATAACTGCGGCTTGTCTTGAAGCTCAAGTCTTTCAAGGCTTGCTCTGGTTTCCCTTTTGTCTTCTTTGTCAGTCACTTTGTCTAGCTATCCATTTCAAATATCAATCCGCAGTAATGTTCTTATTTCTGAAGCAGAACACGCTAAAGTGCCATCATTTTTTTACATAGATTACTTATAAAGTCAAGAGTGAATTTTAAGACTTTCTTGAGGTGCGCACAATTTAATGAAAAAGAAAGAAAAAATAAAGAAAAGAAAAAAAATTGTCCTGTTGTGAATGGTTCACTTGTGAGAACTTACTTGAAACGACGCAGTTGCAGATGACATAATGTCATAGATGACCTCAAGAGGATGTCCTTTAGGTGGTCTAAACGGAGTAAGCAAGTAGTGTAAACCGAGTAAAGGTAGGAGCAGAAGGGTGGCCCTAAACGCTTGCAGCAAAGTTCGCGACGGCCGGCCTTCCGTCAAGTGCGTTGGACCCGCTCTCAGTTTGATCAACAAAACTCGCACGATGTTACATAAGAACACTAAATTCAGGGCCATCGATAAACTCACAGGAATTATGAGCACCATCATGAACCCCTCAACCAGCCAGCATCTGGAAAACCATTGTTTGCATTAATCTGACATAAGTACCTTGTATGATAAATTCAGAAAAATTGTTGGAACCCAACCCTTCTCTTACCTTTTCGACGGATATATGAAATTTGTCCAAATTGGGTCCCTGGTAAGAGTGGAACATAATAACTTTTTAGTCATAGCGACATCACTATGCTTTATGAAACACATTGTCTCATAGACAGTCATTATGACATTATAGTGTCAGAAATTGTCACTGTGATGCCATTATGACGATCATTGAGACTCTGTATTGCATAAAGCATAGTGATGTCGCTATGACTTTTAATCACTGCGATGTTGCCATGACGTGAGATCATTGTGATGCCATTGTCCTTCCAGAGTGAGCTGATACAATCTACCTATATTTACATCAGAATTGCATAAGCCTGTTCTTATTTATGCTTCATATCAATTTAAGGTGGAAGACAGTGTCACCTTTTGATCTGGCTATTATATTGTTTGTCTTACATTACCTACTGTTGCATACTGTTGCAAATGAGTACCCCTAAATGGTATTTTTGGCCGCCATCTTGGATTTTGGCCTGAAAATGACCATAAGGCTAACTTTCGACTATAAACTCGGATTTTACGATCCAAAATACATTAAAATCAACACCTGACCAGGCGTGTTTGGAAGCTTGAAGTTTTTTTTTACCCCAAAACCTCCACATTGACCGCAATCTTAAATTGGAGGGGGGGAGGGGGTTGTTCATGAAATTTGGTATAGCCATCATCAATTTTCTTTTTCTAGACATCAAAACGAAGAAATTGATGTCTGACACAGTATGCCTTCACGAACTTGCACACGGGACTTATGTTTTGTTACGTATGCCCCCTGACTATCCCTTTAACTGGCACGCGTTGAGTAAGTTAGGATCCCTTAAACTTACGTGCGCCTAAGCATAAAACGCTGAATCAATTACTAGAGAATAATTAAAACATAATTCGAATGAAACGTATGTTTACTTTCACACAGCCTTCCTTTTTTACCCTCTCCTTAACGTCCTAAATGTGTAGGTACGTGTCCTTCCCCCCCCCCAGGAGTATGTAAATGGCGACTTGAGCGCTAAAGTTTATAGCCAAATTCTGCAGAAAAATACGAATTAAATTACAGTGTTGTGGGGTGAATATTGTACAATTTGGCAACGCTGTAAAAAGTATTGAATGTTACCCCTTCATTTTCCGAGTTATGCATTGGTGTATATAGCCCCTTCAATCTGTGGGTTATGAAATGGTGTATGTTGCCCCTAAACTTGAAGATTATGCAACAACGTTGCCGGACGGTACACATAAATAAATGATTCAATTATCGGTGAAACTTGGCAACATCGAATTTTACACTGTTGCCAGATGGCGCAAGAAATTAAATAATTTATCCGTACATTGTCGTCAGATTGTGCTACAAAATTCGGAATTTCAGGCATGTAAAATTTCGGCAACAATAGACCATCCCCTCTGGAATGGGTCTGGTATCGGAGACTGGAGAGTAAGGTCTGATTCGGAAATTTTAACTGTAGATAATTTTTGTTCGATATCTTGAAGTCGGTGCGTCCTAGACGATTTTTGATTGAACAAAATCCATCGAAGGCTTATTTGTCATCCGCTACTTTTGATTATGAATGTAATGAGATGAATTGGTGGTCGCTTATCCAATCAGGAAGCCTAAAATCAAGCAATTATTGACATGCGGTATGCGGTCCTCGCTCCGTCCAGAGTTCAAAATTCGCCGTGAAATAGCTGTGTATTCGTGGATCGCGAAACAATGTGATGTCTGGTTTTAGTTTCTACTGATCGAGGGGTATCAGAAAAGCGTTTAATTTCATTGCGAGTAACCGGATGTCCCGTCAGAAAAACAATCGGAAAGTCGATGACGCATAAGTGTCGATTTAAAGTCCGGAGAAGGAGAGGGAATCGATGTTTGTGGTTGACAACCCTGACGTTTTATAACGCGGATGTTTTGAAACGCGGGCGTTTTTTAAACGTGGACGTTTTTTTAAACGGTAACAATAGATATTTCCAAAAAAATTAAACTGAATATTGCAGTATCCAATACCAGTTGCTTATCCCAAAACATAAGGTTCCCGATACACACCTCCAAGCGCTCTGATACACACCGTCCGCCACTAAAAATTGAATTTCTCGAATCTGACCCTACTCTCCAGTCTCCGGTACCAGATATATCTTGGATGAGATGGACTACTGTTGCCGAAATTTTACTAGTCCGAAATTTCGAATTTTTTTGCACAATCTGACAACAACGTAAGGAAAATGTATTTAATTACTTGCACCATCTGGTAATACTTACAATGGATACATACAATTTCAATGTAAAATTCTATGTTGCCAAGTTTCTGGATAATTAAATCATTTATTTATTTGCACCGCCCGGCAACGCTGTTTCATAACCTACAAGTTGAAGGGGCAACATACACCATTGCATAACCCGCAGATTGAAGGGGCTACACGCATACGTCGCACTGTGGATCGAAGGATAGGGCGGCGCGGACATAGGGTTATCGTGTGACTGTCAACCGCCATATGATACACAAATATATGTTTTCTACAGTAATTTTTCACGAGAAAGCTGAATATCGTATTGAAAAGGCGTTAAAGTCAGCGGTTTGTAGGAAAAATTGATTTTTTTCCCCTCTTTGAAACCCTTCAAAAAATAGTAAATGCTCTAATAATTATTGCGATTAATTATTCTTTTATTTGTTTCTACTGAGCTACAGATATTTTTTTTCTTCTTTTATTTTGCTGTAAACTCAGTGTGAATATTTTTAAACAAGCAATGCCCCCCCCCTTCCCCCGCTTCCAAAATTTACTAGCTGGATACGATGCGGTTAAGTGAGCTGTTTAGGTACAAAGCAAAACTTAATTAAAATAAAAAAGAGAGTTTATGACTCACAATGAAAACTGAGGGGGCAGAAATATTCCACTTATACAGGGTGCTCCAAGCACTGTTCCTTGACGAGCAGATTCAGAGCTTCCGGTAAAAGGAGTTTTGACTTTTTCTTCGCCGTAATTTGGGGTCGGAGGCTCGAAATAATAGGATCTGACGAGACCAACAAAAAATGCATGATGCCTTCATTTGCAGTTCCGAGCAGCTTGCAGCTTTGAGACGTACTATCATCTTGATTCAGTTAGCAGTATCGCTGATTGATCGCTTATCGTAGCGAAGTAGGAACAAACGCAAATCTGAGGATATGGTGACCGCTCAAATCGTCGCTCCTCTGACGTAAAGGCGTATCTCAATTTCAACGTGAACCCCGTTTTAGACATAAGTTCATCTTTCTGGGGCTCATGCGGAAATAGAGATACGCCCTCACGTTAGAAGAGCGACGAATTGTAAAAAACTCAAACCAACAATCAAGTCGAACGATTTTTCATGAAAACCAGGGGCATCATTTCTGCAGAATTGTAGGAGGTTGAGAGTAACATTTGTTTAAAAGAATAAAAATTACTGAAAGGGAGGGGAGAGTAAAATTTTATAAAGTCACAAATCCCTAAAATTGATGCATATATTAACCAAAAAAGGAATCAAATTGCGCTACGATCAATTGACTTAGTGTTCCCTCCTTTTTTTCGATATAGAAAGAACAAGATTGTGGTGCAAGATGATATTATTGGCGTTGGAAGGGAGAGGGGGGGGGGAGGGCATGACTAATTTATTCCAAAAGCCAATTCGAAACGGTGGTAAGTTACCAACCCAATGGGAGCTTTCCAGCCTTCCTAGATGCAAAAAACTAGGACTTTTCATTTAAAATTCAAATATTGGTTTTTTCGAGGAGCGAGTTGTCATCACATTTATAGGCCTAACTTCTAAAAAGGCAAAAAAAGGCAAAACTTCTCAATTGATATTGGTTCCTAGGGATATAAGGAACATTCTTCTAGGTCGGTTTTCTTTGAAATGTTCTGAAACAATGTCGAAATCATTCACTGAATTTGGAAAACCGGGTTTTTTAGGGTACCATGTCTGTGCACTGATATTAGTATTAAAAATAAGGATGAAAAATATGGCAACGGGTGTTTCTCTCTCCCCATTGCATCAATAATAGAGGACAACCCCCAAAATTTAATATAAAAATGCAGGATAGTTAAAATATAGGAGTAACGTCTAGGCTAAAAATGTACCCGAAATTCACCTCAATGTGGACACGGTGTATCACACGTCCGTTACATCGCTTTAAATTTTTTTTCAGATGTAATATTGGTATTTTATGTTCGGCTAAAGAGTCTACTTTAAGAAAATGCCAAGAAACATTATGTTCCTTCACTTTCATTTTTGGGCCTATGTCCGACCTTTACCATTGGCTCGATCCACTGTGCGTCGTATGCATCACTCGGAAAATGAAGGGGTAACCTACGATACTTTTTACAGCGTTGCCATATTGAACAATATCCGCCTCATAAGACTGTAATACTTCATATGTTTCTGCACAATTTGGAATGTTACCCCTTTATTCTATGGGTTTTGCAATGATGTAAGCGTTTTTTTACTGGGCTCAAATCGGCATTTTCCTAGTGGACTGTTTCGTTTTCCAGGATATGACCACCATACTTAATCCAAATCCTTTTGTTTTTGAATTTGGATTAATTGATAAATTTACATTTTTCACTTTTACTCAATTTAACAGTAGGAGAAGAATTCGCGATCGTGCTCCTCTTCGGTCTCATCATGAGTCAAAATATCATCGACATTGGTATAACTCAACGCCTTCAATCTCACCGAACGTTTCAACATTTTTACGCTGAAAAACTTCTGCTGAGTTCGATAGACCATGAGGTAGGCGTAGAAAACAGTACCCGAGTAGCAATGGCTGTTGAGGAAAGTTGTACAGAACTTGTAAATTTTAAGAGAACTTAAAGTTTACTTCAAAACCACTTGAAAATTCCGTAAAAAAAACTCTTGAAATATCTGTGCGTATTAGGAAACCCTTTTTGGGGCTTTTATTTACCTACATAAAATTGCGAGGC